TCACTATTGCTGGCGTTTTGATATAGAACTGTGATAATAGACTGTGATATTAAATTTGAACGGCAATTTCTTGCAGATTTCACCCAGCCAAAGTTTCTACTAATGCAGATTAGTGATATACCCAAACCAAACCTATACCTAGCACGTGCTACCCTACCTATACCTATACCCAGTCACGTGCTACCCTACCCTACCTATGGCCCGTGCGACCCTACCCTACCTATACCTATGGCCCGTGCGACCCTACCCTACCTATACCTACGTCCGTGCGACCTATACCCTACCTATATCCTACCCTAGGTACATGGTACCCATCCGCCAGTCTAGACACGCCCTTTGTAGACAATAAAAGGTAGGGTTGTATACCTAGTAGTGTAGATACTCTAGATAACTGTAACCCACTCCTAATTACCTAGCTAAATAAGGTTTAGCCTTATATGCCTCTCTAAGCCTATAACAACCTTTATTGAGCTAATTACTTCTAACGTACCTCACGGGCGAGTGGCCGGCCCGGGCGAGTGTCCGGATTTTGCCAAGACCACACCAAACTTCATACAACCCGCGATGTCTCAACGCAAAAAGGCTCAAAGCGTCTTAAAGGAACCAGATATACAGCTTGCAATCTAGGCTCTTAAACAAGACGCGACTCTTACTATTCCACGCACTGCAACAATCTACAAGGTGTTAGAAAGAACGCTAAGACAACGACGTGCTGGAACGCTCTTAAGACGCGATTGTAAGGTCAACTTAATAAAGCTGACAAGCACTGAAGAGGAGGTGATTGTGCAGCATGTTCTGAAGCTGGACGAGCGAGGATACCCACCCTAGCTTACTGATGTGGAGGATATGGCCAACTCTCTACTCACTAAGCGCCACCAGCCTCCTGTTAGCAAGAACTGGGCTAGCACGTTCGTCAAGCGTCGCCCAGAGCTCACAGTCAAGTTTAATCGAAAGTACGACTACAAGAGAGCCCTCTGCAAGGATCCTGAGGTGATCTAGGGCTAGTTCCGCCTGGTGGAGAATACTAAAGCTAAGTATAGTATCCTAGATAAAGACACCTACAATTTTAACAAGTCTAGGTTTATAATAGGTGTTATATTAACAGGAGCTGTTGTTACAGGCTCAGAGCGTCGTGGAAGACTAAAGACAGTACAGCAGGGTGACCAAGAGTAGACCAGCATTATCTAGGGTATTAACGCGTCAGGATAGAGTATCCCACCCTTTGTTATCTTCTAAGGCAAGCACCACCTCTCTACCTAGTACAAGGAGCTGTCTTTACCTCACAATAGGCTGGCGGATGGGTAGGGTAGGGTAGGGTATAGGTATAGTCACGTGATTTATGGGTAGGAACTAGGTAGGGTA